GGTTTCCTATAAGAAACATCTAAAGGTTTCCTATAGGACATTTCCGAAAGGGTCAACTCCTGCTGATATTTCCGACTGAAGAGCATATACAAGGCCAGGCAGCCCTGAAACGACCCTCTTCATCTTCCCTAATGAGAGCAGCCGAAACCGCCCAAGCACACAAAACAGGAAGTAAAACCTCCGCACGGCAACAGGAATGGAATCAATTTAAAGCAATTCGCTCCGAGTCGCTCCCGTTACCGATCCCGATGGGATCCGTTTCCGGGTCTCTTCCTATCGGAATTGGTTTCGTTTAGGGAGATCCCGGAGATGCACCCCTGTTTCCATGGTGACAGGGGGTCCCGTCTCGTCTCCGTCCTGTCCGATGTTTCCTCCTTTCCCGTCGGTTCGAGCGCGTCGATACCGATGAGCTCCGGAATTCCAGATGATTTTGAGGACTCGACTGCACATTCGTGCCAGAAAAATGTGAACATCCTCTATAAATCAAGTTTGAGATGGAGATCACGATGGAAGTTGAAGCCATAAAATGCGTCGAGACTGGTCATTGCCGTGTAAGCGTTCCATCATTCCCGTCTACTGCTTGGACACCTCTCCCTCCCCCCTTCCTTGCCCCCTGCCCCCTGCCCCCTGCCCCCCCCCTTTCCCTTCAGACCAGCGATAGTGGGGAAGTGGGTCTGATCAGTCCCTCAGAGAGAGAGAGAAGTTCCATAGTTCCCAGCTCTCCAGGCGCAACAACGGGCACGTACATAAGGCACCATGGAATGTGAGCCCGTGAATGCGAGCCCGTGAATGTGAACCCGTGAATGAGCCCGTGAATGTGAGCCCGTGAATGTGAGCCCGTGAATGTGAGCCCGTGAATGCAAGCCAATGGGGATTTTAAAAAAAACACTAGACAAAGCCAGCATGCATTTTTCGGATTCCATTCCGCCTCCAGCCAACGTCCGGTTTCGATTGTCGATTTTTTTCTCGGATTTCCTATTTTGGGTTAAATATTTATTTTCCTATTTTAATGGCTCGTAGCCATTAACCGATTAAGAATATCCCCATCTGATTTCGTGAAATTTTTTTTTGCACATGACGACTCGGATGAATGAGGAAGGATTTCTGCCGAACGAAAAATATTCCAAAAGCGAGAGTGCAAATGCAAATGTTTCTTATGACTCGTTGCGAATGCTCTTCATTAGCGAAGGTTCATTTTAGCAGGCGATTATCCTCGCCGAATCCCATAGACTTGCCTTGAAAAATCAAAATGGCAAAAGCTGCAAGAATAGGGAGTTAGGCTTAAGAAATTAAGAAATGCAACCAGAGTGAAGGGCAATCGTAATATCCCCTGGAAGGTTTCGAAAACCAATTTTTTTTCCCCCTGATTTATTTATTTGGAAGAAAAGGGTGAAATATAATTTTAAATTTGGCCTTCCTTATTGTCACGTGCAGAAAGGTTTGCGCGAAATCAAATGGAGATGTGCTGAAGAGAAAAGTAGCAAGGCGCAGAAAAGTCTTGGAGAGCAAAAAGCACAGAACCCATTCGGCGACTTTCAGATCTCGCGAGAGTGGGAATGTTTTCTTTTTTTTTCGGGCGGGAGAGAGCGGCCGAGAGGGAAGGATTCACCTCGGAGGAACTGCACAGTATGTTGCACAGTATGTTGCACAGTATGTTGCACAGTATGTTGCACAGTATGTTGCACAATATGTTACACAGAATGTTACGACGACGTCGGTCCAATGTCGTCGATGTAGGCGCAACATCGAGTAAGTGTTGACTCGTTAGTAACGTTGTTAGTAACTCGTTAGTACTCGTAAGTAACGTTGACTCGGCGTTGGCACAAAGACGGTTTCCAAAATCGACCGCAAAAAATTTGCTATCAACTTTCTCAGAGGCATTCGGGAGCGACCTGTAGGACCAGGACAACCCAAAATATGGGGAATAAATAAATAAAGAATAAATAAATCCATGCGGTGATGTTGCTAGTGAATGTATTCTCAAAGTCTGTTTTGTATCACGGAAGCGCGAAAAAAAATTCAAAGAAGCAAAAAAATTTTTCAAATTCTTTGAAAGGTTTCCATCTACGACGTAAAATGCGTCGATTCCGCCACGTTCGCGGAAGGACCGGGAAGGAAGAAGAGGAGAAGCGATGAAAAATAATCTGGACGAACCGTTACGGCGGAAACCTGGCGGCAATCCGCTTCGGGCCGACAGAGGGCCGACAGAGGGCCGACAGAGGGCCGACAGAGGGCCAAAAGAGGGCCAAAAGAGGGTCGAGAGAAACGCCAACAGTCGCTCGACATCGGCTTCCAGCCGTAGTTTGTCGGAAATCGATGTCGAGTGAATCCAACCTCATCGCGCAATTGTCGGCATCCTGTTGAGTGCATCAGAGATGGATGACGCCCTTGACGATGACGTGGAAGTGTCCCCCGATTTCCACTCGGGATCCCCGGACCTTGAGGTTCAGGTCCCCGCCTCGCTTCGAGCACTGATACGCGTGCAGCACCTGCTTCCCGCTCAGCTGCTCCGACCAGTAAGGCGCCAGGACGGTGTGAGTCAAACCTGAAGGAAGTGCGAATGCATTCATTTCGTTGCAGCTTTTCTTTTTTTTTTCTTCCGGGCCTTTCTTCCTGAACTAACCGGTCGCGGGATCCTCTGGAATTCCGTCCCAGGGCGAGAAGTATCTGGAGAAGAAGTCGTATCCTTCGTAGGCCTCTCCGCCTTTCACGGTCAAAATGACTCCTATGAACAGGCTCCCATCGTGCAAACTCATCATCTTCTTCGGCGATACCTCGAGCTCCTCCAGCATCGTCCTGCGTAACAACCGCAATGAGTTTCTCGCTCCGGAACGGACTCGGAAAGGAATCTCACCTCGAGCAAGAGTCCTCGAGTCTGATGAGAAGGTTCTTGGTCTTGAAGCAGTAGGCGAGATCCGCCGGTTCCAGGTCCTTCAGGATCTCCTTCACCAAGGGCTTGGCTTCTTTCCTCAGCATGGCATTCAGCGATTTTGGTTTGTGGCCGGGGAAACTCAAGACGATGCTCCGTCCCTGCTTCCTCACGCCCAGCACTCCACTCATCGTCTCGAACTCCAGCCTCTCGTTCGGGTTATCTGGGAAAGCAGCGACATCCATCCGGACTCGTCCCATTCGAAGGAACGGAAGGTGCCAATTGGATGCATACTGCAGCAGAAGAAGAGGACGGCAGCGGCGGCGAGGGTGGCATGTCCGCAGAGGGCGACCTCGTTGGTGGGCGTGAACCAGCGGAGTCTGAACAGGGGAGCGGAATCGAACCCGTCCTTGATCCGGATCTTCGTCACGATCGCCGTCTCCGTTAGATTCAACTCCGCTGCCATGCTCTGCTTCATGGTGTCCGGGATATCCTGAAAAATATGCAGATTATGATTTCGAAGGCAGTTAAAAAGAAAAGGGGGGGGGGGGGAAAGAGAGAGCAGCTGAGGATCGAACTCGCGCCCTACATTGAGCCCATCGACGAGACACACGGCAGCAGGGTTGCCAGAAAACGGCTGTCCCGTAAATGTGTCCACAATAAATATCGGTAGTGACACACCCAGTTTCGCGTTACTCTCGTCCGACTGCATCTCTAATCTGCGGGAGGAACAGAAAATCATATACACCGACGAAAGGCTGAAAGCAGCCCCCATGCCCATATTGGGCAGTGCCGATAACGCGAATCCGAATCGGTCAAGGTCGGCATTCGTTAAAGCTCGGTCCCAGCCTCGTATCGGTACGTTAAATGCGATCACGTACGTATTTTGTGATAACGTGGCAGCTATGGAGAGAAACGGAGCAGATGCACTCGGCTCTCCTCGTTTGTTCGTCCTCGTCCCCAGATCAATTCGAGAATTTTGAGCTTGCAAGAAGGAGCTCTTAAATTATTGTTTTTTTTTTCTCTATTTTGCTAGGAATTTTTTTCATGCGGGGAACGTGAAATAGGCGTTCGAAGTCGAAACGTTCGTGGGCTGAGGGCCTATTAACTTAATCGTAAAAGAGAGCAGCGATCAGTTTGGTGCGCTTTGTCGGTAACTTATCAGTGGTCATTGTGCTGAGTTTCAGCTTCGCGTCTATCGGCGAACACTGGAAGCTGCTCCCGTCCACCTGGCTCTAATATACGGACCGTATTATAATTAATTGCATGCAACGGGTGCTACTTCATTTACTTATTTTCCTTTCGCGTCCCGTAGACTAGGACAGGTGATTCACGACTACCTACACGGGTAACGGTAGCGAAACCAACAAGAACGGTAACGACTCCGCATTAATAAACCAAAACCTCATTCGCCAACTCTTCCTGGAAGGAACTCCCATATTCTCGCACCGCTCACTGATTTTTGAGACCCGTGCTCACCGGACCGCTCACCGATTTTTGAGACCCGTGCTCACCGGACCGCTCACTTCACAGAATCTCGACGGCAAAACCAGAACCCCGACACCTGTCAGAGAAAGGCCCGTCAAGGCCACGGCGACCGCGTTGAGACTGACAAATCCTTTCGCGCGAAGGCGTCACGCCAAGTCGCAGTAGTGCGTGACTGCTCTGCCCCGACGTGTTGTTTTGAAACGCGCAGCTTCCAGGAACCCGGTGAAATATGAAAAATGGTTCGCGAGGCATCCGCGGACGTATGACTTATGACTTTTAACTTTATGGTAGTGTGCCCATACCAAACGACTCCGAAATGCGTATAGGAACGGTTTCGGACTGGGTCACGATCCAGTCGAGATATTCGCCGACCGCGATGCGGCTTTCTCCCTCATCGTTTTATTCCAGTCGATAAACTTCTTAGAAACGCGTTCCGCAAGGCGCAGAAAACCTGCAGGTCCGAGCGATTCGGTGCGGTCACACCACTCCCTCCCCCCCTTATGAAAAAATTATTCTCAGTGTCTGATTTGCACATCGCCATTCCTCTATTCGCATTTTTCATCCTCCAACAAGAATGGTAAATTTCTCCCTAAATATCCTCGCCCGACCCGCAATGGGCAACGCTCCGGCAATCAGCAATGAACCATCCCATCCGCACTCCATAGTTCTGGCGCACTTCCCAGAAACCGCCGACTGCCTCGTGCTCCTCGCCAAGAGGAAATGGTTTTCATTCATAGAAGCCTTCGCTGCTCCTACATTTGTGCTTTCTCAGACATTCCTCAGTTACCAGATTTAGCCCTTTTTTATTGATTACCGAGGATACGTTTAATAATTTTTTTTTTGCTTCACTCGAAGGCAATGAAAAGGCTTCTGTTCCGTACGATCGAAAAACTGCGTGCATTTATTGTTCGTCAGGTGAAGAGAAAGATGAGAAATCCGGACGAGAGAGACTCAGATATGAATGACGCCCTTGACGGTAACGTGGAAGTGTCCCCCGATGTCCACTCGGGACCCCCGAAACTTGAGGTCCAGGTCCCCGCCTCGCTTCGAGCACTGATGCGTGAACATCTCCTGCTTGCCCCCCAGCTTCCCCGACCAATACGGTGTCAGGACTGTGTGGGCTGCACCTAAACATAAAATTATGTACATATTTATTTAAATAT